GTGCCTCGGTTCGGGTGTCACGGTTCGATACGATTTCGGTACAAGAGGAAAAAGAAAAAAAAATCTACTATGCTCGGTTTATTTTCATTTATTTTGAACAGACAGTAGTACAAGTTATTTTTTCCACCTAGATGTGAAAATACTAAATATTATTACATTATATTATATATATATATAAAATCTACAGTACATATATACATACAAGGAATACATTCTTGAAATATATTTGATTTAGTTTACAGATAAACAAGAGAAAAAAACAGTGCGACACGTAACGTAACGTAGCCTATATACGCTGAGTTTTTTTTTTTGTGACGCTTAATTTGTTCACAGAAAGGAAACTCAAATGGCAGAAAGTGACATCCTATTTGTTTTCTTTATTTTACAAAAGCACAATGTTTTCTTTTCATTGTGAGTGTAATAAAAGCAAATAAAAGCAGACCTTTATACAGTGATGCATTATTAATAAGACAATAAGTGTTTAAAGTTGATTCTGCTGGGAGCACATGCCGCTGAGCTGAGGGGTGGGACGTTTAGACTCGCACTAGAGCCGGTTTAGCCAATCACAACACACTGGGCTAGCTAACCAATCAGAGCCCATCGTGTATTTCTGAGGCAGGGGCTTCATAAAAGCAGGAATTGATCAGCACATTCAGAGGAGAAGGGACAGAGAGGTGTGGAATAAAGGTAAATTATGTGAAAAATAATGCGTTTTTTAACAAACGAAGCATTAACACATGTTAGACTGCACCCCACAAACACAATCAAGCCTAGAAAAAAAACAGTCAACCACCCCTTTAATATCTGTCTTTTAGAGATTTTCCCACATTTTCCTGATGTGAATGCCATGCATTAGGTGTGTTATATTTGATGACGATGTCTACAGTGAAACATAGTGATGGACGATGACATCGGGGGGCGGGGTTAGGGGCTGTGCCCGAAGCGTGAATCCGTATGCAGAAAGGCACGGAAAACAAATAACGCATTCTATGGAGCCACTAAAGGGACATGGTTAGCCGCTTGCTAGCGGTAGACTGTTACAAAACCTATTCTAAAATCTAAAGGTATATGTTAAATATTATTATCAACAACAATAAAACTAAATACATTTCCCTGCGTTACCTATTGGTTGTTTTACTTTATTGCTTTGATCATGATTGGTTAATCTGGCTGTCATCCAGGAAACTGGCCAATGAAACTGTTCGCGCCTTTCTAAATTTGAAAATATGACCGTTATTATGGTGTTTCTGAGTGAGGGCGGCTGACTGTGAGCTGCAGCTTGTTGAAACTGCTCGGTCGGTCCCGATTTATTTTATATTTGCCTGTTAAATTTTTATTCTGAGCGAATTTGAGTCATGAAATGTCAACGGAGAACAAAAACTGGAATGTGAACACAAGAAGGGTCAGATGTGATCTGCAAGGTCCTGCAAACATACGGGCAAAACCAGGTAAGAAAATCGCTATCTTTATTACCTTTCAAAAATAGTAAAGTATAACGTTACCAGAGTTTACAAATGGGTAAAGGACATGTAACCTGCAGAAGATAAATACCTGTGTGTGTTTTTCTATTGCTTTATCACAGATTCTAAAGTTAGATGCTCATCTGATGTTGTTGTGTGTTGCTGCTATTGTTAAATTATGTGTTAATGTCTGTCTTTTAAAGATTTTTCACATTTTTCTGATGTGAATGCAATGCATTAGGTGTGTTATATTTTTAATCGTATAATAGTCTCAAAGATAACATACTCTGTTCGTGTTTTCTGAATATCATATTATGGCAAATGTATGAATTATGATTGTTTAAGGAATGTTATAAAACGAAATCCTGCTTTTTAAGAACTTTTCAGTAAACCATTTCTTCTTTCCCCTTGTAAAGTCATCAATTATCCAACTTATTATTGGCAATTTGGTAAGGAATTGTTCATCTGTCACTTCTGGTAGAGATTTGTTGACCTGTTATACTGAGCACCACTGACAAATATCTAATCTTGTAAAATGTGTGGTAGTACTGCTGCTCCGTAGTATAGAGTCAGTGTGATCGCGAATCTCGAAAGTGAAAGTTAAAGTAAAATGAAAGCGCGCATTCGAAAGCGGTTTCAATGCCCTACATATTAGTAGCGGCTCCCTGATGGCCGCAATTTAAATACAGTATAATTGCGAGAGAAAGTATTGAAATATTTTTTTTATTCTCCCATCTCGTAGGCTATTTATTCCCTTTAGATGTTCCGTAGTACACTTAATTTCCTTTTCTAACACGGAATTGGGATGCGGCGGATTGTCTCAACATCGTGATGTCTGTCAGCCATCGGCGATGGACGATGGCATCGTCTATCGGGCCAACCCTAGTAATTGGTATAAAAAGTTTGAGAACCTCTGGTTTAAGAAATGGTATAAAATTAAATCCTGCTTTTTAAGAACTTTTCAGTAAACCATTTCTTCTTTCCCCTTGTAGAGTCATCAAGGATCCATATTGTTATTGGCAAATTGGTAAGGAATTGTTCATCTGCTACATTGAACAAAAACTGGAATGTGAACACAAGAAGGGTCAGATGTGATCTCCAAGGTCCTGCAAACATACGGGCAAAACCAGGTAAGAAAATCGCTATCTTTATTACCTTTCAAAAATAGTAAAGTATAACGTTACCAGAGTTTACAAATGGGTAAAGGACATGTAACTTAAAGAAGATAAATACACGTGTGTGTGTATTTGTTATCATAGATGCTAAAGTTAGATGCTCATCTGATGTTGTGTTGCTGGTAAGTTATGTGTTAAAGGGGTGGTTGATTGCGATTTCACTTTTTTAATGTTAGTTAGTGTGTAATGTTGCTGTATGAGCATAAACAATATCTGCAAAGTTACGAAGCTGAAAGTTCAATGCTTTCTGAAGTGGTACTTGGTATAAAAAGTTTGAGAACCACTGGTTTAAAGGAATGGTATAAAAAGAAATCCTGCTTTTTAAGAACTTCTCAGTAAACCATTTCTTCTTTCCCCTTGTAGAGTCATCAAGGATCCAGCTTATTATTGGCAAATTGGTAAGGAATTGTTCATCTGCTACATTGCACTGTCACTTCTGGTAGAGATTCATTGACCTTTTGTGATAGGTTTTGATTTTACTTGGTTTAATAAAAATGTACTTAATTTGATTTTACTTGTTTAACTAAATACACCGTATAGTTAGGATTCTGATTAAAACAGTGTAACTGGGGGCTCTGAAAAAACTGCTTGTGAATAATTTGTTAAAGGGTTAGTTCACCCAAAAATGGACCTGCTACCTATTGTGAGAAAAATATCCGTATTTCAAACGTAATAAACATTTTTCTCTCAAAGTCCGCATGAAATCAAAATTGACTTTATTTACTTTACTAGCGTGACGATGTCTACAGTGAAACATAGTGATGGACGATGACATCGGGGGGCGGGGTTAGGGGGTGTGCCCGAAGCGTGAATCCGTATGCAGAAAGGCACGGAAAACAAATAACGCATTCTATGGAGCCACTAAAGGGACATGGTTAGCCGCTTGCTAGCGGTAAACTGTTACGTTACAGTACATGAAAGTTCAACTTACCACATACACAGAGTAAGGAGAGATGACTGATAGGACAATGGCGAATGATTTGCAGATACTGAGCACCACTGACAAATATCTAATCTTGTAAAATGTGTGGTAGTACTGCTGCTCCGTAGTATAGAGTCAGTGTGATCGCGAATCTCGAAAGTGAAAGTTAAAGTAAAATGAAAGCGCGCATTCGAAAGCGGTTTCAATGCCCTACATATTAGTAGCGGCTCCCTGATGGCCGCAATTTAAATACAGTATAATTGCGAGAGAAAGTATTGAAATATTTTTTTTATTCTCCCATCTCGTAGGCTATTTATTCCCTTTAGATGTTCCGTAGTACACTTAATTTCCTTTTCTAACACGGAATTGGGATGCGGCGGATTGTCTCAACATCGTGATGTCTGTCAGCCATCGGCGATGGACGATGGCATCGTCTATCGGGCCAACCCTAGTAATTGGTATAAAAAGTTTGAGAACCTCTGGTTTAAGAAATGGTATAAAATTAAATCCTGCTTTTTAAGAACTTTTCAGTAAACCATTTCTTCTTTCCCCTTGTAGAGTCATCAAGGATCCATATTGTTATTGGCAAATTGGTAAGGAATTGTTCATCTGCTACATTGCACTGTCACTTCTGGTAGAGATTCATTGACCTTTTGTGATAGGTTTTGAT